CTGAACAACATTTTCCGATCAATTAAAACTTTTTAGAGGAACGGAATAGTTGTGAAATGTTTTTGTAAACAGCACTGGGGTCTTGAAGCAAAGGGCAAGTAACTCTGTCAGGTACTCGCAACAAACGTCGGCGATGCAACAGCGAGTTACTGTTAGATGATATATCATAGTACACATACTGTACAACACTAATAAAGAAATGTGTTACGTAAGAAATATTGTAAAGGATTCCATGATATATTCTATTTCATCCAGATATTATGGGTTATGAATTGTTAGGTTATGTCGCTGAATATAGTTCACTGTTATTATACTATTTTTATAAATTATATAAAACTAACAGTTACTCATTATCGATTTCATGCATTAATGATATAAATGTTTTAATTTATAATTATTAAATTCGTTTTATTAAAATTAAATCATATATTCATGATTGATTTGAGTCCTTTTGGAAATGCTGCAATATTTTATCAAGGACTAATTTCTTTCTGTACAAAGAAAGAATGTTAAGAATGTTTAAACTTGTAAATCGTTCATTCATATTGGATAAATGTTACAATTATTAGATTCATTATGTTTTATTAAAGTAATATTCATTATTGACTTGAGTGCTTTTGCAAATGCCATTATTTTTCAATAATTTTTCTCTACTGCTATCAGATCTTATAGACCACATTCATCCGTTATTGAGTAAAGAAATTTTGCAAGGAAGAACCATCAATGGAGGTAAGAAATTGTTTTGATTGTGCATTTTAACAAATACAAATTATGTAGCAACAAACTGGCTTTGCTTATTTTACCCCATTCCACAATCACAAACTGATTATCGCATTGCTCCATGTCACGCGTGCTTACCCACGCGCTCATGATGGTCCGTATAACCTTAGTGTTGATTATATATTTTTTACATAAAACTATACGCTAATGCTAGGATATATTTCTTTGGTTACATAATAGTATTCAATCAATAGAATTCATCCCGTTATATTATTGTGCATGTTTGAACTTGTTCGCAGAGGGGAACGTGCACAGCTGATTGCTATTTCGCTTTGTGTAATGCGAGACAAATACGCATCTATAATCTTAATTAATTTATAGAGCAAAAAACTGTAACTAAAATTACACAATGCTAGGATATATTTCTTTGGGTTAAATAATGGTATTCTGTATTATATGTTACTGATGACTGCGTCAGAATTCGTCCCGTTATATTATTGTGCATGTTTGAACTTGTTCGCGGGGAAACGTGTGCACAGCTGATTGCTCGGCTTTGTGTACTAGACAAATAAGTACGGTAATGTTAATCCCTGCAAATAAAACAATGCCCAGCAAAAACAAGTTACTAGTATAACTTAAATGGTAATTAATCTTGTCTAGTGATGTTTAATTGCAAATTTGACGTCTCTACTGACAAAGTCGTCTTCTGTTGTTTGTTCACGCGCAGTGATACAATGTTGTTTTCTTACCCCTGGAAAAAAGTTTGACGAAAGTGTAACTCATGGATAAGACGACCCCCTTCTACAGACTGCTTTTTTTGGTCCTCAAAATTCGGCTTATAGACGGTCAGATACGGTATTGACAATAATTTACAGTCATGTTTCATTAAATTAGGAAAATGATAATCCTTTTAAGTATAAAATTGAATAGCCATTAGATAAATGACTAATATGAATATGTTTTGAAAATTCAATATTTAATCTGTCAGTTTTGAAGATAGTTGAACTTGAGTATAGCTGTCTGGTGCCATAGATCTGCACATTTCTGAATGAAAGAAGTATGGCAAGTCAACCAAAGGTAATGTCCAATCAAATTTTAACATAAATGATGTCTGAATGTTGATTTATTTATTTATTTGCTTTTCAGTTGAGTTTATGTGTTGCTGAAATAGAATGAAAACATTGTATACATGTTTGCTGTATTTGCTACTAGTGCTTCTTTTCATAAAAGATGCTCAGGAGTACACCCTTGCGGTGCAGATTTCCCAATCTCTCTGTACTGCATTGAAGACTGTTGTTGTTAGAATGGTCTCGGGTCACTTGGAGGGAGGAAAATTCTGGCAGCCATCAGAGCAACTCCGAAAAGAGTCCTCATCGTCTCCAGCACACAACAAGCTTCCTGAATTTGTCTTTGGTGTTCTTGACCACCTTATGAAATATCGACCAGCAGCTTCAACCCTTGCCAACAAAGCCATGATTATGTATTCGTTCAACAAAACCAGAGAATGGTTGGACACACTTCCCATTGATGAAAGAAACCAACTTGTTTGGGAGAGCAAATGGAAAGGTCCATCCCTAAGAAGAAAGTTTCAGGCATGCCTCAGAGAGATTGAGGTGAAGAGAAAAGCTGCTCTTAGAGAAAAGCAGCTAGCGATTGAGAGACAGAGAAAGAAGAGGTGCCAGTACAAAGATAGCTGACCTCCCAAATTATTCACTGTGGGTTATGGTAGTCCAGTGTGGAGGTGGAACAGAAGCTATCAGAGTTGAGAACTGTCTCACAGAAGAGAGAGAGGGACTGAAAAGCCAGATACTTTTCCGAAAACATGTCTTGGGACAAACTCATTCAGACAAAAAAATCTTTGTGTTCAAGGAAGGGAAGAAAAACCCATCAGTCCCAGAACTGAAAAGAAAAGTCCTAAAGTTGATAGAGGCTACTCTTACAGTCCCAACAAAAGAAGAGGCTCAAGATGGGACACCATTACTTGTCCGAAAAAAGGTCAGACATACCTTTGATGACGGTGTTTACACTGGAACTGTTATCTCATGTGTCCCTGGTCACCCGACTTGGTACAACATTCAGTATGAAGGCGATGAGAGTCATTATGTTTATGAACTACATGATGACTATAGAAATGGAGACCTTGTGATTGTCATGCCTGAGGTATCATTTACATCACTAAGCTTGCGAGTGATAAGACACAGTCTTATTACAAGGAATGACCAAATCATCATCCAATCATTAAATCTATTTATGAAAGGTGATTTACACTTGATTTGCATGAAATGTTCATGTTGATATTTTCATTGTTATGCTTGTTGACGGCATGACCGCTGCTATCAAGAGCCATTTCCTGGACCAACTAAATAAGGGATCTAAGGAGTGATGTAAATCGAAAAACTCTTTACCAAAGTAGGAAACAATACCACACAATTCACGGAATGTTAATTTTAATGTGTCAATTTTATATGATTATATACCAGTTGTTAATGAGGGACCTTCACGAGTACCTACATCTAAATTTGTTGTAATGCTCTCATATTTCTGTGCAATTTAAAAGCTGTAATAAAGAGAATGAACATTTATCATGTTTGTGGTTTTATTATTTTATCACGTTTCATCTTTATTTAAAAGATATTGACCTTGGACATGTTTTCTCAAAAAATGGGCCCAGATGGAAAAAGTGGGCGTGGCCAATTGAGGTAAGTAAAGAAGTGGCTGCATTTTCTATTTCACTGAACATATTTCCCAAAAGTAAAGTGTTTTGCGTTTCTGAGGGATATGTGAATGAGAAAATACCGAAAAAAACATTAATTTAGTTGATTTAAAAAATGGCCTGGACATGCTACCTCGAAACTTCAACAACGTGAATGAACCACCCATTTAACGTAAGAAACATTATTATTCCCACCCTGTGACTTAAATGCTGGAAGAAGTGTGAAACAACATACCTTTTTGATAATCGAGGATAGGATAATAGCGATAGGTGTCCGCATGTGCTTAACAATGGTCATGACCTTGCAATAACTCATGGGCAGCTAATTTTACTTTATACGCAAGATGGGAGTGGTTTCCCTTGCATATTAGACCGTTCCGTAGAGTTTGCCATGCCCAATGTTTTTAATGTTCAGGGATAAATCTACCTGTGCGTCCTGCGTAATTTACGCAAGAAAATTTGAAAGGACGCTCGAAACTTTTATATGTGCGTCCCTCTGTACGCGTACATATTTACTAGATGTTATTATTAAATAAACAACAATTATTTCAAATTTTATCACGTACATTTAACAAACAACTCCAGACATCGGTAACTAAACGAATTGGTTTACTGCTTTTCATTCAACCAATGGCAGCCATGGCAGCGATGCAAACACGATCAACCATCGATTGTTGCGTCGTCATGGCCAAAACATTGAAGCTGTCAAAATCTGGCTGTCAAATAACGATTTCTTCTATGTTTGGCTTTGGCAATGGCCATTCTAGCCCATCAACTGATTATGAGTCGCCAGTTTCTGTCAATGCAGTTGCGAGTAACAGAGTAACATGAAACACAGGACATGAAAATACTAAAATACTACAAGGTGGGAAAATCCATTTTGATTCACCTAGTACTGCCAACGACTTGCTTGAATCAATGTCTGAAGTGGTAGACGATGACTTAAAACAAAAATTAAAAGAATCTCCATTCGTCACTGCGTTGGCTGATGAAAGCACAGACATTACCAATCACAAACGTCTAGTAATTTACTGCCAGATCATTTCACATGACATGTCTGCTCAGAAGCAGCCCAGGAGGAATGGAGCATGATCAAAAGGGTTGTGCTTGCACAACAGTACCCACGAGATTCTATTCATGAACTGTGGAGGTTGCTTAGCAAATACCATGGCAATGAATTTCCTAACATCTTGAAGCTGGCTCAGCTGTCCCTGACACTGGCTATACATACAGCAGGTTGTGAGAGGGGTTTTTCGGTGCAGAATCAAACCTTAACCCCCTCTCGCAATCGGTTGTCTGTAGCCAGACAGGACATGCTAATGAGAGTCAAAATGGGCCCTTCCAGGCAAGAGTTTGACTTCCCATCAGCAAGTGAAAGAACACAAAAGAAAGGAGGCTATATGAATTGAAAACATGTAAGTAATGACATGTGAAAATAGAGGACTTATGTGTTTTTGTTGTTTAGTAAATAGAGGACTTACAGACCAACCATAAAAGTGTGTTTGTTGTTTAGAAGGACCGGTTCATTTGGTGTAAAAGGAATGTCCCAAAACTTTCGCCTAGGACTATTGCAAGTTAAATCAAGATCAAATTGTTGATGCGAAAAGCTGAGGAGGAGAAAGACACGAATCAACATAAAAGAAATAAAAGCCATTTATCAGAGGCCAGACAATTCACGCTTAGTTCCAGCACGTAGATTTGCCACAAAAGAAGGACCGGATATCTCCTGTTAACCTCTGTAAAGGAGGAACATGCCAAGTTCCTGAAAGAAAACAGTAGCAATGTAAGTTTCAGTACATTTGCTGCATTGAGGCCCAGGAATGTCCGTCTACTTTCCAAGTCGCATAGAGAGTATTGCATGTGCAGTTATTGTATGAACATCCGGAACAAGCTGCTCTGTTTAGAGTCTGTCATCAGGACCAAATTGGTAAATGAAACCAATCTATTGGACATTCTTCTGTGTCCAAAAGCCACCAGTGAACGCTTCTTTGCATCGGCATGCTTAAAGGGGAGTTGTCCTTCCTGTTCCAACTACAGTGCAACTTTGCAGAAAAGGTATGAAAGCATCTCACCTGAAAAACAGCCGTCATAGAATAGATGGGAGAAGATTGACGGCAAAGTTGTATTAATCACCAAGGTTGGCAACAAGGCAAAGTTACTGAAAGAGTTTGTGGACGAAGACATCCAGAAACCAAGCCAGGGTACCACGTTCCTGCAGCACGGTACACACAGCCCAATGGCAACAGGACCAATTCTCTCTTATTAAAACAAATCTGCCTGATAACTGGTGTCTCCAAGTCATGGACTTTGCCAAAAATAGAGGAATTTGCTATCAGGAGGAAGTGAAGAATGCCTTTTTCACCAACACTCAGATAACGATACATCCCATTGTGAGTTATTATAAGAAGGAAGGCCAATCTGAACTGGTGAGGGAATCATCCATCATTATTTCAGAAGATCTGGTTCATGACTTTCATGCAGTCAAACATCATAAGTCTATAGTGGCTGAACACCTGGAAAGGCAATCAGGTTCGATGCCTGAGAAGTTTGTACTTTTCTCAGATGGATGTGCTGCCCAATACAAGTCAAAGGGACCTTTTGCTGACTTGTCTATGCAAGAAATACCTACATCAAGAAATTACTTTGGATCAGAACATGGCAAAAATGAATGTGATGGAGAGACTGGGATATTAAACAGGGCTGTAGATAGGGCTATCATTGGCAAGAAGGCTGTAGTTACCAGTCCTTTAGATTTGTATACATACTGCAAAGAAAACTTGGAACTAGATGAAACGCTGTCCAAAGAAAATATTTCTTTGTCAAGCAAGGTGAGATCTCAAGAGAAAGACCAGAATCAAATGTTAAACCTATCAAGAAGACAAGACAGATCCATTATATAGAGAACACAGGCACCAATTATTCCATCAAGTCAAGAAACCTGTCATGTTTTTGTCAGTCATGTTTGGATGGTCACACAGATGCTTGCCTTAACTTGAAGTATGTGGAGGAATTCAAAAGTCATACACTGTCTTTGATTCCAGAATGTTTGTCAAAAGAAGATATGAAAATGGAGACTGAAGTATTTGGAAAAAATGAAACAGAAAAGAATAAAGGAAGAGATAACTTGAGGCCAAGTACAAGCTGTAAATCAGGTGAAAATGTTAGAAGAGATGTCCCCAGTCAAACTTCTCATCAAGAATCAAATGAGATCACGACAGATTTTCAGACAAAAAACATGTCTAATAGTGGCAAGAATAAGAGTAAAACACAGAAAGCTGAAACCAAAACATTGAAATCACTGACAATGGATGGGAAACTGTACCAAAACATATTTGCAAGCAAAAGTTTTGAAGAGCTTGAAATACTGGCTGAAGAATATCATGTTCTCCCAATTGCAGAACCACACAAACGAACTGTAGACAGGGCTTCCATGTCATTGGTTCCTAATGATGATGACAGTCTGCTTGATATTTTCCCAACTCTCATATATGGAGATGGAAACTGTTTGCCTAGGTGCGGAAGTTTGTTTGCCTATGGCTCTGAAGATAAACATATAGATCTTTGTATGAGAATAGTTCTTGACCTGGTACATAATAAGAATGACTATTTACAGATGCCATCAGCTAAGAACTATGCCATGTATTCGGATTTATACATGGGTGAAAAGTTAACACCAGATGCGAAAGAACAACTATTTGAGCAGGAAGTACTTGCTATCAGAGATAAAGCATCTAGAGTGAGTGAGTGAGAGTTGGGTTTTACGCCGCTTTTAGCAATATTCCAGCAATATCACGGCAGGGGACACCAGAAATGGGTTTCACATATTGTACCCATGTAGGGAATCGAACCCGGGGCTTCGGCGTGACGAGCGAACGCTTTACCACCAGGCTACCCCACCGCCCCAAAGAATCTAGAGAGTTTTCAGGTAGGACAGAGTGGACTTCGCAAACATAGTGTCTTCCGCACTATTGAAACTCAGTTTTCACTTAAGTTGTCCATTGATCTATTTGCCTCAAGACTAAATAACAAGCTTGAAAAATACTGTAGTTGCCCAGATAACACAGCTTCGTTGGGCCGACGTCGGTATAAGTAAAGTCGGCAAAAACCGTTGGGCCGACGTTGGCTTATTGTCACAGCCATCGGTCGGCTGAAGGGTGGCACTTGCAACAGTGGCTCGACGTTGGCACGCCACTGTATTCAGGGTTTGTCATGCACACGTACGCAAACTGTACACATGTGATAGATTCTACATCCCTTTTCAGGAAATGTGCCAGACCATACTACCAAGCTCGGTACTTTCCTTTGCCATATTTTGTTGATCGTAATTAATTATGTGCATGCATGCATGCTCCTTACGTACATATTGATTTATATCTAAAAAATGAAAATACTTTTAATTTGATATGTATACAGGGTTACATACGATGAATATTTAAAGTTAAAAAGTACTATGATTTAATTTAATTATACCGCCTAGCCTCAAACTTTAATTTTCAACCGGAGCGTTTGCCACTAGCGGTCCGCGGTCAGCATGATAGTGGTTTATCTTCCTAACCAGAGGCTGTAAAAGGAACTGGCTTTAGGCGCGAAATTGGTAGCAGACGACGTAGCAGACGACGTGGCGAACGTGTGAGTATTCACTCTCCTATTCTCGAGATGTATCCATATTCTATCGGTAGTGACATGTAAACATCAAACTACAAATCAATATTGTATCTTCTAACAAAGATATTTAATAGAGGAAATGCAATCAAAACATAATTTGAATCGTTTGGTGAGTTGTGAAAGACTATTGAAAAATGGGCCGGTAGATTATATTATGGCGAGGACGGCAACTTTTTTCAGAGTACTGAAACAGCAACAATTCATACCACTTTACCATTTTATTACTTTTATGATATTCCAAATTCGATATACTTCTTGAAAATGTTGATTTTAAAGCTATTTTTTGTAGATTTGTTGTTGTCTGGGGTATCACTGAATACCGTTACCGCAAATTAAGGGCACTCTGTTCCTGTCCAAGATGGCAACACCCATGTTGTTTTCCGATGATTTTTTTCTTTGAAATTAAGTACCGCGAGAATAGGGTCCCACGTATGTACAGTATATGGATATGCATAACTTATATTTGTCGGGTAATATTACCATTCGGCATATTATTCACTAAACCTCAGGTAGGGGTATTGAAATCCCATTAGCACAGGAAATATTTCCAACTTCTTTCAACTACAACCAGAGAGCAGAGTTGCTTCCCTTGGAAAGCCTGAAAATATTGACATGATTACCTTTGTATCAGCTGACCGTTGCAAGTCAACATTGATCGTTAGGAATTTATTACTTGCTCAGTTGTTTATTATTAATTATAATGATGAGTTTAAAAATAATTTTGCTCAAGTGAGATTACAATCTGGTTATGTGGATTATGAATGTTAACTGAACCTAAGTTCAGCCAGCTAAACTTCGTGTGCCTATCAGCTGGCTGAACTAACTGAACTTGTGGCCACTAGAGTTTTAAACATTCTTTTTATCTCTGCCTCAGGTAAATATGCTAAACAAAAATACTCAAGTACCCACCCAATTTTCAATATTGAAGTATGTAATGTTACGATCCATATAATACTTAATTATTGAATATTGGGGTTGTCCTGAAGGTATTTTGTTGAGTATAACAACACTGGAGTTTATCAACTGACATTTACCATTCTGACTAGATGATAACATGATCTCTAAACAGTGTCATATACACTATATTCATTAAACAAACATCTACAAGCTTAGATCTGCTTCTTCGACAAATATAGAGTAAACGGGAATTTATCACAAGACTTACAAGTGCATGTTTATAAATTAATTTGAGTAAATATTTTTATTCAGTCATAACATGTTTTATTAGCTCGTTGAACCTTTTTCTATTGCCCTTTTGGCATTTAATGCATTAGTTTTTTGGTTTGTTATTTTCCCTCGGGGGTATTAAATGGGGTCTATGCACCTGTCCGTAACATTCTTTTAGGAGCAACCATATACATAAACATCTTCAAATTAAAATCTATTTGCCAGTTGCATGGGATGTAGCTTGACCATGTGAGCTGCTTGTTTTTAATTCTATGGAGGGGTGAGGGAAGAGTACGCGTGACAGTCTCCTCCGGACATGCATTGACTATGATTTGTTAACCCTGTTCACAGGTGAAAAATGGATAAGATTGTTAGTCAAAAACAATCAGACGCAGAGCATCATCTCAAACGGCTTGTATACTTGCACATTATGAAAGTACACCCGTCAGCAAGAATGTTCCCAATAATGAGATTTATTATCATGAAGATGTCTCTGAATTTGATAAACATTGTCAAGGAGGGAATATCCACATGAACACTGACGATGAAGGTGGTGATGGTGATGAAGATAGTGATGAAGATGGTGACAGTTTTAGAGAAACCAGTGTTAGCAGCTCAGAGCATGACTCTGATGGAGAGCTCGACATTAGGGAGAAATTGAAGCAGTGGGTGCTTGATAGTGGGACACCTTTGTGTCACACTAATAAACTGCTGGATATCTTGAGGCCATTTTTTCCATCTTTGCCAAAAGACAGTCGTACACTGTTAGGAACAAAACGATATTTTGACATAGAGGAGGTATCTGGTGGAAAATTTCACTATTTTGGACTGGCTAATACCCTTAAATCAAAATTGATCAGTTAAATCCTGAAGGATGTGACACACTTACCTTACAGATAAATATTGATGGTCTGCCTCTATTTAAGAGTAGCACAGAGGGATTTTGGCCTATTTTGGCATTAATCAAGGAAGAAGTGGAACCAGAACCATTTGTTGTGGCATTGTGGGTGGGAAAATCAAAACCAAAAGATTCCAATGAGTTTTTGACAAGATTTGTTGATGAAATGAAAGACATTGAATGTAATGGAGTCAAACTGAATGGAAAGACCTATAGTGTGACAATTCTCAATTTTGTCTGCAATGCACCAGCACGTGCCTTTGTAAAGAAAACAAAAGGCCATTGTGGATACGAGAGGTGCGATTTTTGTGTACAGCACGGTGTTTATAGAGACAGAAGGATGACTTTTCCAGAAGTTGATGCTCCAGCAAGAACTGATGTTGCTTTTGATGATATGCAGTACCTTGAAACAGGACATCAACTTGATAAATCTGTATTATCTCAACTCAACATAGGTCTAGTGACTCAATTCCCACATGACTATATGCATATAGTATGCTTAGGTGTTGTTAAGAAAATAATTGTACTGCTCACTAGTGGTCCACTACATGTGCGTATTGGAGGTAATGCAACAAAACTAATTTCAGAAACTATTGTGAATTTGGGCAGATTTTTGCCACGCTGAAGTTCATGAAGGGCAGGCCTCTCACAGAAGTTGAAAGATGGAAAGCTACAGAGTTTAGGACGCTTTGTATACTGGCCCAGTTGCCCTCCTCAGAGCAAGATTTCACAAGCTCTCTATAATAACTTTTTATTGTTGTTTGTAAGCATCACGATTCTGTCAAGTGAACAGTTTTGTTCCTTGTTTAACGAATATGCAGAGCAGTTGCTGAAAGTCTTTGTACAGAATGTAAGTGACATTTATGGACAACAAGCAGTCATTTACAACATCCATGGAATAACTCACCTTGCTTCTCAGTGTAGGTTGTTTGGCACACTTCACAATTTCTCCGCTTTCCTTTTGAATTTTTTGCAAAAATAAAAAACTCATCCGCAAAACCCAACTTGCCACTTGAACAGGCTATACGGCATGTATGGATGAAAGAAAAGGTGTTCTGAAAACTCCAAAAATGTCACCAAACATTTACTGCAGAAAAAGCACCAAAAGGTCCCATTCCTGAGGATATTGCTTCATCATGTGATCAGTATGAACAGATTGTAATGAATGCTTACCTTCTATCCCGTAAAGCACCTGACAATGCTATCATTGTTGGTGACAAAACATATGTTATTAAGAATATTTTGGTACACAACAACCACCAAAAACTTGTTAGTCAGGAATACAAAGAGCAAGTAGAATCCTTCTTTCAGTATCCATGTGATTCTAAATACCTTAAAATATCTGTTGTTAAAAAACTTTGTGGTCGATTAAAACAAATTAATCCAGAAAGCATATCTACCAAAGCTGTACTGATGCCTTTTGAGTCAGGATATGTTTCACTTCCAATGCTGTAGTGTTGGTGATCTATAGCTTGTTTTTATATTGTATTGTCCAAATAGTGCTATCAGTAATATCTCTCATACTAGTTTTAGTTGTAATTGTGATATTCTAGTTGTTTTACTGTCCTTCGTCGACAGGTGTTTTATAATATACATATATTTCATTTCAATATCAAATGTCCTCTTAACAATATGGCTGAAATATTGCCGATGTGACGTTAAATATTAACTCACTCACTCCAATGCTGTAATACTGCATTTGTGTTTTCACTGACTGTGAGGCTCAAATTTGTTAGAGAACTGTTAACTTAGAATACTTGTTTATAATATTGTCTCTAGGAAGTAGTATTAGACAACTCAACTGAACATGCATTAGATTTAAAACCTGAATGTTTATTAATGTCTGTATATTATTAACTGTTTGACATTAAAAAAAGCAGCTGATGGTGTCAGTGATCTTGCCACTACAGATGAGGATAAAAAACGGTAACTATTTAGTTAAACTCATATGGTTTGAAGACTGGAGTTGTAAAATATTGCAGTTTTTAAACAATCATATATATTTTTAGATTTATCAGATGCAGAGAACTGTTACAATTTACATTATATTACATATTCAGTATCCAGGTAAAGTTGGCAACAGAATTTTAAATTCTAAATTTTCTGTTTCAGGCGGCGGAAACCTGTTACTATCGATAGTGACTTTGAGGTAGAAGCTGAAGTTGACATGAGCCTAGACATGAACGTGGCAAGAAAAGATCACAAACTGAGTATGTCACCATGGTTACAGTGCCATGAAATTTATTGCTGTATTATTATGATCATGTTATTAATTACAAGCATGTAAATAGTAAGACAAAATGTGCTTGAGTTGAAAATGTCTATGTGCTAAGCTTGAATTAAATCTGGCTAACATGCTTAACTGATAATTTAGCTAAAGGAAGTCATGCTTCATTGTGTTCTCAGCTGCACAATATTTTTTTAAAGGCAAATCACATCATCTGATTCTGAGGGGCCTGCCTCAAGTGAGACTTTCAGAAGTCAAAGAAAGGGTATTATGTTTGAATTTTTTTTCTGTTTGTACTAATTGCAACACTTACACATAGGTGCATGAGGAAATTGGTTGAAATTGAAATGGTTGTAAATGTTGGATTTAGTCTCTAAAATGACGCTATATTCTGTCATTTCATCTTGTTGACTTACAGAATTTTCTGATATTTTAATGTAAATGTCATTTTGTGAAACATAGTATGTTTATCTCCTGAGCAAAACCATGTTTGTGAGATTATTACATGCAAGTGTGTTTAGAATATTACTTTGTTGTTGTTAGTTCAAGTAGAACTATTGAGATCTCGCCACCCTCTGTTCCGGCCTTTCCAGTAATCCATCCAAGGCAGCAACTCAGGTAAATATGTGTGAAACATCTGTTTATATTTTGCACATTAGTAATTTTTCATTGTTGTGAAACACATTTTTACTTAACTAAATTACTGATGAGATCACTAGTTACTATGTTCCTGTACAATAATTAGTTGCTTTCTCTTTGTAGAAACATTTGAATTTGCATATATATATATATATTTCCATGGAGGACCCATGACATACACATTTTTAAAGATTAGTTGTTGTTTTTGCATCCAATGTTTTTATCTTTATTTCTACTTGTGCAATGGAAACAGTTTTACCTGTCCAACATCAACTATTTGCTTGCTGGCAATGCAGAGGCATACAATTATTAATACACTTCACTCCTTCTATGAAAAAAAAATGCAGTCGAACAAATTTTCATGGTTAGATTTGTATTCTTTTCCAGTTACACTGAGCCACCTGCATATAACACAAACAGCCTACCAGTATCAACAAAGCCATTAGCCAGGTAAGGAATGATGATAATACAGAAAGTGACTTAATTGTATTGTTGTGCTTATGTAAATGAATACTTTTCTATGTAATTTTAAATTCATTTTTGTTTAAAATTATAACTTTTTAGAATAATAAAGATTTCACTTGGTTAACTAGTAACTATAATCCAATCACTAATACGAAATTTACACTGAGGATATGATAACAAAACAGACTCTGTTATGTATTGTGATTATCTCTACTTCTTTGTTCACAGTTCTGCACCATGGCCAATGAAAACATGTAAGATGACTTTTAAAACACTCTATTCACGATCATCGTTAAATTGTTGCATTTAATACAAAATAAATTGTGTAAAGATGTGTGTGCTAAGATGATATTATATTTAGGTTACATGACCAGTCAAACTAAATTTTCATGAGACATCAGGGTTGTTTCTGTATAGTTAGTATGTTTATTTTCTTACTTTGCAGACTGAAAAAATTACTTGAAAAAAGTGAGTGAGGTGCAGGAACAAGTCAGGCAAAATACGCTCATCCTAAAGAGCCTTCATGCCAAGCAAAGTGCGGTCTTGTCTCCAGATCTTGTACGGGAGAACTTTCATCTCCCAATGAGAACTGGGGATGATTTCGCACAGGTTGAAGAAAAGCTCTCTGAAAGGGAGAGTGAAGCAATACTGGTAAGTAAATGTTTAGTTGGGTTTTTTTGTAGCTCTTTCAAAACATTGGTAGGCTCAGGGGAAGTACGGACGTAATACATTTTATGATAATGTTACAGTCAATAGTACACTTATGCAAGTTAATCTAAACAAATTAGTTTTCTTGAATAGATTGGGTTTGTTTTGTTATGAGCATTTGGGCATGGAATTGTTAATATCAAATAAATTCCTGAAATATGTAGTATCCTGTATGTAGTATTTCAGTGTCCTTAAATATTTAGAATGTTTTGTTTTATCCACGAAATGTTTCAGGTTATGATCAATCCAGGTATTTGAATACCTTGCACTGTCTGCTTCTTGTGTATGTGTAGTTCGATTATATGCATCTATCCCATATTCACCTAATGTTTCCTGTGCACTTGGTGAAAGGTGGCGGGGTTATGGTCCATTTCGCTTTTCTTATACTCTTTCTTAGAGTGCTTGTGGTTGCTTTTCTAACACTTTGAAATAATAAATACTAAAGACTGAGTTTGTTTGCAATAGTTTACATTTCTTGAAATTGGCATGAAGACAGATATAACTTGTTAGTGTTTCTCAAGATTTCGATGATGTGCTCACATCAATCTGGGGCCGTATTTATAAAAATTCTTAGAATTGTTAAGAATTCTTAAATGAAGGAAATTCTTAGAATTCCATGATATTTACACTTTAGTGTTAAGAATTTCTTAAGTCACATTTATAAAACATTTTACATATACAGATTTATTTATAAACACATTTTTGGATTAAAATTACTTGATTTACCTACCTTTTCAATAAATGTTTTTGCCAGGAAGCTCCTCTTCCGGTAACCGAACGTAAACAAACTGAACTCGGTTCGGTCTGCTATTCAACTCTTCTTAAATGTCAGCGCAAACGCCGCCATCGACATTTCATGAGCTATTAATAACCTCAGGGAATTCCCGGATTTCCCTTGGCAACAGCACTAAGTATTTTCTTAAGACTGTACTCCCATTCTTAGTTAAAAGTTATTCTTAGACCCTATATGAATAATTCTTAAGATTTACTTTTAGCTAAGATTTTTTTTTTGTAGATCTTAGAGCAAAACTAAGAATTTTCTTAGGACCAGGGGCCTATTTATAAAAATTCTATGTTTGCATATAAATGTCATGGGTTTTTGTAAAGTGAAAGATTTGTCAATTAACCACATTTCACTCAAAGTGAAAAAGTTTTTGTTTTGCATCCAAAAAGCATAGTCACCAAGCCATAACCATATACTTGAATAATAATGTGTAGCACTGATACAATGCCGTGACTTGAGTGTCATGTTTTACATCAGTTTAAGTGACTTTATTGCTATACACACATTAATTTGTAGTGTTTTTAATATAGGTCCGTCATATTGGTAGTTTGGGTGGAATCACGGCCAGAGAGGTTGTAGACAGAATAATGTCTACCCTCTTTACTCCAAGCCTGGCAGCTTCCTTTAATTGGAAAGGGAGGGGACACAAGATGGGACTTGCCAACACTTCGCTGGCAAGAATCATCAAAGGTATTGACTAGATGAAAAGGAACTGAGCCTAAATCTTTTGATGTCAGTGTTGCGAAAGCAGTAGTGCTATGACCTCATTTCTGAAGAGGCCAAGGCAGGGATGGAAATAACCCATTGCCTGACGTCAGAGTCCAGTGTTTTTTCTGTCGAGCACGCAGATATGTGTATCATGCTGTACTTGACTTTCCAGTGTTACTTATGCTGTTTATTTAAGAAATCAACAAGAAAATAGGCCTGTATAGTGGAAAAGTTATCAGGGCAAGTGATTTTACATGTGCAACTGTGCCGGAGTACACTAGCAATTTTAAATTTATTTCCACCCCTGGTATAGTTTAGTGCCCAAAGATTAATATTTTCCGTTTGAAGTTAATGAAGAATGATATTGGATGATAAATAGATTCTCTATGTATTCAAGAAAATCTTTCATAAGGGTTTCTAGTTGTCTTGTATAACAGTGTCTTGTCTGTTTATATAAGTTTATTTTTTTCATTCAGATGCATCAAAGATTTCCGGCTGCACGGAATCAGCTACTGAAATCCATATTAAGAACTGGCTGAAGTATGCATCAGACAAGGCTGGAGGGCACAAGAAGCGTGCAGACAAGCAAAAAGGTACATATTTCTCAGCCTTTGTATAGCTTTTGCACCCTGCAGTGAGATCAGTGACCAGGCAGTACATCGGATGTGTAGTTCGATTATATGCAAATTGAAATTGAATAATTCACCAAATATCATTTCTTAATAGTCATCATAAGAGAAAGCATTCAAATCAAATTGTGTTTAACTTCCCAAATTTCTACTGTAAACCTGACTCTACAGAAGTTACTTAATACAATTTCAAGCTGCTTACGCTTTTCAAAATCTTATTTTGATAGTATACCATAACATGTCTCTCTGTTTTTCAGAGAAAGAGAGGGAACTCAAGGCAAAAAAAACAGGCACTGTCCCAGCTGATGGACACTTCTGATGATGATGATGATGATGATGATGATAATAATGCTGTGATTTAAAGAAATTTGTGTAAACATGTTTTACTTTTGTTGTCAATCATCAAAAGACAAACTGAAATACAGTGGCTGAGTGATGCTGATATTCTTTGTAATTCTTTGGTTTGCTACACAAGATACTGAGCAAACTCAAGAAGGGTAGCTTGTCCAGCAAAAGTTGTAATCTGACCAATCAAAGATATACTTTTTTATAACATACAAATGTTATCTAAGCTAGTATCATTTCCTGTACAGTGTTCATGCGGACAACCCCAAGACATACAAGCTTCCTCAGATCTTGTGTAGCTTAACCTTGGGAGCCAGTCTAAGATCTGCTTTTAATGAGATTGTGGAGAGAATCTACGTACAAGTGTTGTAATAAACAAGCACAAACGTTACAGGAGTGGATAAGTGAAATATGTACAGTATAGTGCCATAAGTTAACAAAGGTGACATTTCCATGTTAATTTGGTGTAGCATAAATAATTTTAATGAATTTAATTTTCATAGAATCTTCATAAAACTTTGCATGTTTGTGAGGAATCATCTGAGTTTTCCGTTTCAATTTCGATTGACAATAATGCAACAAAACATATGCATTGTTGTATATAATCATTTAACATGGCTGTCTATGGGGCATGGCCTTTACAAAACGTACATATATGTTGGTAAATATGATGTCATTGAATAACTACTTGTCAGATAATTGAATTGAAATTATGCTCTTTGGGCTGGGATGATTTCAAATCTACCTGCAAATATTCACATTGATCCAACCTGAATTGAATTCATAAAATTATTTATGCTACACCAAATTAACATGTAATTATATGGAAATTACATGACTGTTCCCTCACTTATGGCACGATTCTGTATGTGTGTGGGGATTACAGGTGATGCTCTTGCTATTTGATAGGTTGGCCCAACGTTGGGACATCAGTGGAATAATGTCATATTGCCAACGTTGGCCCAACATATTATGAGTGCGACGTTGAGCCAACGTTGGACAGCTGGACAAAAAGACATTGGCCCAACGGTGGATTCTGACGTTGGCCCAACTTATTGCAATGGTTGGTCCAACGTTGGCTCAACGACGTTGTGCTATCTGGGTGGAAGCGTGATCCTTCACCCTGGCAAATTGATGTTTTTACAGTAGATTGGGGCACAGAAATATTTTATGCTTTTCCCCCATTTTGCCTTGTCAGCAAATGCGAGCAGAAAATTAAACAAGATACAGCTACTGGTATTATCATTGCACCTACTCTGACCAGGTTTACTACTCTTCTTTCACTTCTTATTGACAGACCAAGGGAGATAACCCAAGTCAGGAGGAAGCTTTCTCTACCTTGGGATTACAAAGCTCAACCGCAGATGAGCAACCTAAGACCTGCAGTCTTCCTGGTATCAGGTATGTCTGAAAGAACAGCGGCATTCAGCAGACGTTGCCGAAGTACTGTGGAATTCCTGGAAACCAAGCAGTAGAAAGCAATACAAAACGTATTGGGACAGATGGGACTCATTTTGTAGTCAGAGACAGACTAGTTCAGTTCACACCTCTATAGGGAAGTGTTAGACTTTTTGTTTATGTTATATTTGGAGGGACCAAGTTATAGTTCTCTGAACTATGCCTGAAGTGCTTTGTCAGCTTTTGATCTCACCGATACTAAGGGCATTGGAGACCACCCCTTGGTGACTAGATTTTTCAAGGGCATTTTCCTGTCCAGACCGGTTAAACCAAGATATTTGGGATGTGAGACCTGTTCTTAATTTTCTTTGACAACTTTCGCCTGTTAGAAAGTTGACACTAAAGAAGCTTTCGGTGAAATTAGTTTTACATTGGTGACTTCCCAGAAGGTTCAGACTCTTTCATTTCACAAGACTTACCTGTAAGTTGAAGTTTGATTGGAATTCTATCAGCCAGACAGTAGTGATAAGGGGTAACATGCCCGCCCGGAGTTCCCTCCCATGAATTTTACACATGGGGGACCAATCTGTCAAAACTTTCCTTTTAAGTCTGGTCTAGGCATGCGCAGTTTGCAATCTCATGTTACCCCCTTATCACTACTGACTGGCTGGTAGAATTCCAATCAAACTTCAACTTACAGGTAAGTCTTGTTTAATTATTAAATTATATATAATCTTTGTTTAACACATCCTGCACTACAGACAGTTGAGAGCATATATAAATGTCTGTAGTGTAGGTTCTTTTATTGTTTCAAGTCGCAAAGGAACTAATTTGTTTTCAGTTACACAATATTCCGCAAATCTGAGTGTTAAAGAGTCGCTTTGTAATCACTATCACACTAAATTGAGTTGTTGAAGGAGATGATGGACTTTGTGACACACAACCATTAAAGACTACAAACAAAGCAGTCGTGGTTGATGGGGAGCATAGGGAACTGCTCGCATACTGATTTAACATTAGATTAGCCGGGAAAACTGAACGAAAGTCTACCCCGGTATTTGAAATATTATCATTGTTTCTTACTCTTTAGAAACTTTTCACAATTTTTACAAATTACGACTGAAAACCTTGTCATGCTGTCTACTTTTCATGTGAAACCCACATGAAACATGACCCCATTTACATGAATATTGATGGTAATTATACTGCTTTAGCAATAACAACTGTGAATCTATGTATATCTCACTGTGTATTTTACTATGCATTTAACTATGTATTTTGCAAACAGTTACCAGGTCATTTGGCTCAGGTTGCAGTTGATGACACTTCTTGAGGGGAGACCGAAGACACTGGGGAAGCAAATTTTGTAGAACCATGACCAGTACACAAGTTATGACACAATTAATAAAATGGCCAAAGGACACAGATTATAGAAAAATTGCTGATGCAGCATCTGTACGAGCTGGGTTTCCAGGCGTAATTGGCATGCTGGATGGATCTTACATACCAATTCCAGGACCCAGCTTCTTCAGAGATTCCTACATATGCAGGAAAGGTTTCCCAGCAATGAACCTGCAGGGTGTGTGTGACGGCAGCTTAAGTTCATCGATGTCTATTGTGCATATCCTGGATCAGCACACAATTCAAGGGTCTACCGAACAGCCCGCTGTGTCATTACTTAGAATATAATCCGTTACCGAAATGTACCACCTACTTGGCAATTCTGCTTATGCTCTGTCCAAGTCCTTGCTTGTCCCATTCAGAGACAATGGACATCTGACAGCAATTGAAAAAACATTCAACAATGCACACAGTTCAACGCGTGTGGACATTGAAAGATGCTTTGGACTTTTGAAAGGGAAGTTCAGAAAACTCAAATACTTAGACATGAAAAATGTTCGGGGAAATGCCTGAAGTAATTATCACATGCTGCATTTTGCAAAATTTTATTTTGACCTGAGAATCCTTTGAGGAAAGTGACATTGACACTGAAGACATTGATGCAGTAGAAACTGAAGAACAATCAGAAAGGGATCCTCAAGAACTTAAATCTGGATGTTCGAAATCTAAGTGTATGTTTATTTTGTGAGGTATGCGCTGTTTGCTTTGAGGCAGAAGAGTTGCCTCCCTTGAGTGTTGGGGCAGACAAAACTCGGACACGGACACAAGCACATGGGCGGCTCGGCGCTAAACCTCATACAGGTATCACAATGTATTAATGAATTGCATGTTTGCACGGGAAAAACAGAAACGAAACAACATCATTGTATTTCCTGCAAATAAACTCTTGAAATAATTCTTTTTTGTTCTTTCACGAACAAAAAGTTTTTCCCCGACATTACAGAAGTGATTCAACTTTCGTGCATTCAAAATGGCGACCAGCAAGGCGGATGTTGTTGAGAGTGGTGAAGTTTATGAACATGACAATAAACACAGTGCTTCTGATAGTGGGAAAATGCAGAATTTGAAGTTTGTAAGGTGCGGCTGTGCTGCTCGTTTGACAACTTTAGTGAACTCTGCTAAACTGTATCTTGAGAATGAGTGTGGCGCTCCCATGTTGGTGAAGGCTAAAGAAGACATTGAACATGCTTTGAATTCACTTGAAATTTCTCAGGATAGATATATGAAGTCCTTACATGCAGAGGAGGATTATTCAGTGGCTGTTAACTGGTATGCGGACAGGAAATCACTTGCTTGTCAGTGTTTACAGCAGATAGATAATTACCTTCAGCATGGCACAGAAACTGCTGCTACTTCTTCATCAAAATCATCACAAACATACAAGTCTGATATAACTAAGAAAGCCCAACAACCAAAACATGATATTCTGGTGACAAGTACTGAAGCTGATGTGCATGAACATTCTAGTCAAAAGGGTCAATCAGATAACAGGCTTGATGGTAGAACACATTCTAGTAGGAGTAGGACACAACACAGTACCACCACAGAGGCACAACAGAAACTAATACTACAAACTGAGCAGGCAAAGCTCAAAGCACAACATATCCGACAAGCAGCAGAACTTGAAATTCAGCGTACTAGACAGAAAATCAGACATGACACAGAGAAGGCGGATCTGGGAGGTAAAGCTATTGCAGGATATGCTTGAATCAACAAGTTGTCATTCTCGATAAAGTATGGGATCTTCAAACAAACCTCAATATGTGAGACAGTGGTTGAATACTGTAAACAGTTCTCAGAACTTGGACACTGACATTAATGTGAGTGAAATACACACAGGACATCAGAGGATGTCAAGTAATATTGTGTTACCAACAGAATTATGCATGTCATGTTCTCAGCCTGCTGTATCTGTGACACAACTTGTAAGAAATACTACTCAATCTACTGGAAGGCAACTCCATGAGATGTCAGGTCATGTCCTTCCCACACAAACAATCTTATCTCACTCTACCACAACAGGACAAGTCTCTACAAGTGTGTTGAACCCACTAGCACCAAGCTTTTCTGGTCATGTGCAATTTACAACTCCAACATTATCGAATACAAATGCTAGGGCAGTAGATAGCGGGATACCTCCACAAGCAGCATCTCACAGCCCTCCAAATGTTCGACCCAGGTATTATCAGTATTCTCAAGAGAATGAACCCATTGATGCATGGATAGATAAACTCAT